AAATGGAGATTCATCTCTGTCTAAATCCTTCTGTTAAAGCTGGAGGTGGATGGTTGCACACTGACAGCCTGATTTACCTTCAGCCCCTGCAGAGCCCAGAATGGGAACTAGGGGAATACCGAGAAAGACAACGTGCTAACAACCTGTATTAGATATCCTGGAGAGGCCTCAACAGTGGGCAGATACTCCTGTGTCTCATTACAGAATAATTCTAGCACTGTCTCAGCAGCATCTGGTTCTGGCATTGCTGGAGACATTATATAGGTGTAAATGTTGTGCTGATCTACACCAGAAGAGAAACTCCTACACCCATCAGATACTGCAAGAAGATGGGAGTTGAAAGTTTCAACTGGCTTCTATTAGCAAGGGTACTGAGTGTCTAGTTACTCGTGTACTTTTTTGGATTACAAGCTTTTCACTGTAGGTGTGATCTCTCACTACATACCACATGCTGATCTGAGTGCCTTAAAAATTGTAAGGGGAAGGACCTTACGCTTTTTTGTATCTTTGAGCTGTCACCGAGTCCTGCCATGACCCTGCCAGCCTTACAGATGCCAGGGAATGGGCATGAGTAAGAGAACCCATCACATTCCTGTACATGACAGAAAGCCCATCCCGAGGACAAGCTTATTAAGCAGGTGTCCATAACCAATGGGTTAGTCCTTCTCATTGCTTCATTAAATGTCTTCTTTCTCTTTGTCACTAAATAGACTCTTGGTGCCCGGTTTCTGGGAATTCTGGCACTGCCAATACCTTTATTCACTGCTTCTATTTTAGTATATTTCACACTTTTTTCAATCAAATAAGAATCTGAATGTATACAGCATATACAACAACTTCTAGCTAGGGATATAAAGTACCTTCTAAACACTAAGCAATCTGTGCATTGATCCTATAATAAAGCTGCAACACATTCCATCTTAATCCCAGGTACCAGAGGTCAATGGTAAAAATATGATATCTATTTCACAGGAGATACCTTGGCAAGAATCCACCGACCCTACAAAAGAACAGTTACAGTTTTGCTCTTTCTCATCTGATGAGTGAATAGCAGAAGTAGAAACACATCCCAAAGTCATGACAGCTACCTTTTTTTCTCCATACCCTACGTCTCATCACTCCCATTCTTTCCTCTCCTTATCCAGTTCCTGTTCACATGTTAAATAGCATCTGCAAATGTGAAGAAAAAAAAAAAAAAGAAGAAGATACCTATACATAGCTACCACAACGGTAGGATATGAGCATGTCCCAGGGCACTAAAGTTGAAAAAGCCTTTGATGAATTAAAAGATGCAATATTAATAATATATAAATACAGAGAAAGTACCAAGAAAGCTTGGAGCATATGCTGGATAGCAGATTCTGCTGATCCTGGCCTCTTCAAAGTACTTTCAAAGGTCTTCAGAATATATTCAATAGTATTACTCTTCAAAACTAAGGTTAGCACATACTACCTTAACAAAGAAATGATGATAAGAGGGTCCCCATAATTCAAACACATATGACTGGCATGGCACGTGTTAGGATTTTGCTACATTACATACATAAGCAGTGTTAAGATTTGAGCATTGAGGAGTTTCTCACTGATCTTTTGGAATATAATAAATATCAAACAATATTAAGAAGATAAATTTGTCCATCAAGGATTATAAGAACTGACAATATTTTGTGACTAAAATAGAGCAGACTTTTTAAAATATAGCTCAACAAACTGCCTGATTCAGGAAATCTGTATCTACTGGAACTCGTAGAAAAAGAGACATTATTTATCCTCAGACTTTTGGAGTTGGTTTGATAACAAATGGGATGAAAGGCTTCATAGGATAAAGGATGCTTCTGAAATGCTAACATTGATGTGTACTTTTTCTTTTATCAGTCTGCAGTTAGCCTTTATAAGCTTTTCAAAGTGGAGTACCAGAGTATTTCTATTCCTAAAACTGAAATAAGAAATTACTACAAAAATGAATTTCAGATGGAATATAGCCAATTATTAGCATCAAAACTTTTTACAGCTCATGTCACTAAACACACGGAATACTCTTTGTGAGTGACAACATCATAGAAGGCTTTATTTTTAATCATCAGAAAAGCAAACTACTGCAACAAAATTGCAATAACTGACACTTTTTTTCAGCTGTGCTCACCTTAAGTATAAGACAAAATACATGTCCTGAAGGAAATTACTACACACTCTCCTTTTGGATTCAGCTGTTTTTGTTACTTTCTTGATTAAAAAAATAAAATCTTCCTTCTGAATCTTTTCAAAGATATAGGTAATACTAGCCTCTGCACTCAGTGTTAAGTAGCACAGGCCAAGTTTACTCAGCCATGGCCAATTGATGTGCTCTTGGCTTGTAATCAGACACTAAAAAGAACAGAAGGCTTAACCAAATTTAATTTGCTATTTTATTTATCCTTATGTTGCCCCTTCATCATACAAATATTAAACATTTATATTATACAGTTAGAAAAACAAGACAATGTTTAGAACTAGTTTATGAGCTAATCTGACAAATAACCATCAGTCCTGAGATGCAAAATAAATCATTTAAGTAGGATTCTGGGTCACTGTTTTTTTCTGACCTAGTCTGGGATGGAAACAGCGAAGACTGCCATTAGAAATTATAGTATTCAGTAACGCTTGCCAGCTCAGTAGTTGATGGCAGTAATGCTGTGTCAGTGATTGTTTGGAGAAAAAAAAAACATACAACAAAAAACCCCCATCCTCTCCAACTGCATGAAAAAGCAAAGAATTTCTTACAAGTAAACTCACACATTGAAATCTGGCAGTCTTCTATTTCCAAGATGCTTCTCAGTGCTCAACAGGGAATGATGACATCCACAATTCGTTTGATTACTTCTTCTGATCATTTATTCATTGCAAGATCCTGGCTTGATCAACTCCACATTGTTGTCCTAGCAGTGTTCATGGGATCAGACCATTTTATCTGATACCGTAGATCTCATAACCGTAAAATCGAAACTTCTGAAGACTTTGCAGTATTGTTTTGGCACTCTGTCAGAATAACTCCTGCTGTCATCCTTCTTAGGAGACTTGACTCTAAGTAAGATTGTTGCTGGGCAAAAGCCTGCAGTGCTACAAATTAGGTCATTAATTGTAAAGTAAGTTCAAACCCTATGATTTGGCAAAGACAGTTTTGGATAAATAGGCTCAGTGCAGTTTTGGAGTCTCCTTTTAGGAACATATTCATTGTGGGTCATATTGTTAACCATAAACGGCTGCATTTTTGGCACATTGACCTTGAAAATCTATTTCTAGATATACTGTATATAAGGCTGCTGCAGCTTTACTGAGTTGACCCCAGACAACCTCATAAAGAATTAGGTGCAGAGTCTGATGCCACATTCATTCTTTAAATGGCCATTGATGATTCAAATTTCTACACTTCGAAACTGTAACTGTCTTTTAATCTGAGGTGAATATATATTAATTTTCTAATAAATTTTTGCATATTATATGATATGCATGTAGATTTCTGCAAAATAGCAGACATGGAGCCAAAGAACATCTTCAAGATTATCTGTGTCTGAACCCCTTTAATTTGTCTGATCACTTAGGCATAACAGAAGACAGAACCAAGCTCATAAATTCCATGCTTTATATATTTGTATACTGATTCATTTAGAGGCTCCGTGTCAAAAACATCAGTCACCTCAGGACACAGCATCAACAGACAATTAACGTTACATTTAATGCCAAGTACTCATTAATGAAAACTAAACAGATGCAAGTGCAGTGATGCAAACACACTATTGTTTCTCAGATAGTTTAGGTACAACATGAAAGGTAATGCTAAAAATGCTTTTGTATGACTACATTGTCATACAAAAGCCGTCATTGTCTGGGGTTGTTTAGCCTGGAGAAGAGGAGGCTGAGGGGAGACCTTATTGCGCTCTACACCTACCTGAAAGGAGGTTGTAGCGAGGTGGGGTTCGGTCTCTTCTCCCTAGTAACGAGTGACAGAACCAGAGGAAAAGGCCTCAAGCTGCGCCAGGGGAGGTTTAGGTTAGACATTAGGAAGAACTTCTTCACCGAGAGTGGTCAAGCACATTGGAACAGGCTGGCCAGGGAAGTGGTTGAGTCTCCATCCCTGGAGGTATTTGAAGAATGGATAGATACGGTGCTTGAAGACATGGTATAGATGGACTTGGCAGTGATAGGTTGACAGTTGGACTTGATGATCTTAAGGGTCTTTTCCAACCTTGACGATTCTATGATTCTATGATTTCATTTCATCTTCTTGGCCTATATGTAATGCCCACAGTAGTGCTTAACTTAAAATATATTTACCTCTGATCCTTACATGATTAAATCAGAGAATACGCAAGAATCAATGAATGTATTACATGGAGTATATGTACAACTCTACTGTGACTAGAAATTTCTACACTCTCAGTTCTGCAGACACCTGACTCACTCATAAGTTTCAGTGAACTGAGCAAAGAACAAGTTCAGTACTTTTCTTCTCTGTTGGGGGAAAAAAAGATAATTGGTACATCCCAGCTGTGTTTCCTCTTCCTTTGTCAGCGTCAGCCCCATATTATTCAGGCAGAGGGACAATGCTGTGTGATTAAGACCAGTCACACTGCAACAACATCGATAGACCTCTACCACTGCATAAAGTAACAATAAAGTATTATACAGTTTGTAATCCAGCAACCAAATAATTGCAAAAAAGTGTAATTTAATCAAAATACACATACAACAGAAAAGAACAAAGTAAATTAAATTAACTTTCTCATATCAAGAGTTTATCCAGCGCAAGTAGCAAGATTCTTTAGCTAGCCCGCCTTGAGACTTTCAGCTGTTTTCACAGGTGTGGGGTAAAAAACACATTATAAATAGTATGCAAACAAAACAAAGTCAAGGGCATAATCTATCAGTGGGTTGTTCTGGTGTATAATTGATAAAAAGCAGGACAAAACATGTTATAAAAGCAGCACAGAACTGAAAACCTGGGGTTTTTTTCTTTAAAAAAAATGTGGGCGCTCTTGGTTCTCATAGGTGCTGCAGCTGTTTCTGCTCACCTGCAGGATCTTGCCTTTGATCGGTAAGAACAGACATCGTTTTATATTTGCACAATTTCTTCTGCATGAGCAAAAGCCTTTCAACTGACTTACCTGTTTGAAATCCAACCTTTCTCTCCCCTTTCAGGCAGAAGGTGTTTCGTGTGATTCCGCAGAATGATGAGCAGGTGGAAATCATCAATTCCCTTGCCAGCAACATGCAGGTAAAGAATGTGGGGAAGGGGCTATATTGCATTTGAAAGGAACATATCTCCTTTTGTTCCACTAACATATATCTTAAAAAAAAAAATCATGCTACTGAATTAAAGACCTAATCTTGATTCCATTCAAGTCAACTGGAATGTTTCTTCAGAAGGAACAGGACAAGGTGACACAGCTAGAGCTACGCAAATACATTCCAGTACCTTCCTAGAAAGTCTGGGTAACCCAGTCTGCATATCAAAGTGCCCACCAGAATTTATTAATAGAATAAGTTAATCTGAAATGCTGTATTCAGTGTGGGGTGCTTTCACGAATGTATTAGATAAAACATGGAAATTCCAACTACCAGAACTTTTACCATTATACGCAAAATATTTTGCTCGTGTAAATAATCTAAAAATCCGTACTCCCACCAAACTGAACTTTTCTTTGGCCTCTAGTCTCTCATGTCATCTTTTCTTTGACTTTTCTTTAAAGCTTCCTTTCTATCCAACCAAGCTGCATGTTTCTTACTGACCTTGATGTAGATATATGATGACACAATGACATGAGAAAAAACAATAAAGACAGCAAATGTGTTTTCAATATTTCTCTTCAGCTTTGATGTAGTAAAATAGCTGTTGGTGAAAAAGACACCATTATCTGTAGGATGAAAGGACGGTATTTTTAACGAAGTACAGATGGGGAGAACTATCATCAACAGGCTAGTATAGCATGCTGGAACAGTAGTCTGTAGAAGAATATACTATTGGAATGGTGCTGCCAATATTAAGTAAATTAATATACCATGCTTCCTTTTAAGTGTGTAGTATAAAGGGATTGTTTGTTTTGTTTTTCTTTTAAGCAAAGAAAATATCCCTGGACTACCATTGTTATAGAAAGCAATCAGTCAGGACTGATGTAGTAGTATATCCTGGAATAGTCATCTCACTTGAAGACGCATAGCTCATGAATATGCCCACCGGCCCCAAATTCCTTTACATTCATGAGACGAAAGGCTGAAAAGGCATTAGGTTGACAAACCAGCTTTGCTTTCATTGCCTTTAATAGGGTGCTAAATCCAGAGGTCTGGAAGCTGACTTCAGCAAAAATACGTGAAATAGTAATAGGACTCTTGTTTGTCCACCCTGAACTAAATATCTTCTGAAGGCACAGGTTCCTCATACCAACTTTAGTGAACTGAGTCTTAAAAGCGCTCATACAGACAACAGTCTTTCCCAGCTGATTTATGTAAAGTATTCATGTAGCATCCCTCCACTACTGAGTCAGGAGTTCTACCTAATGCTTATAGGCAAAAATTTCCTATGAAATCTGTGCAAAGAATGAAAGAAGTTGTAAAGATAGTTATAATACTCACAAGTCTGTATGCACTCAGATGCTGTAGAATACTTGGCATTTGTGAAACTGTCACTGCCATCTCCAGTATTCTGCCATATAAATTGCAGGGCCTAATAAAATCTTCTTAATCAATTTCCAGTTAAAATTTAGGTTGATACTTCTGGCAAGCAAGGTTGGGTCAGTGTAATAGGATAGGAATGAAATTTGGTAATCACAACCAACATCATCATCACACATACACCTAAAAATCACAGCCATATGTATGTGTTTATTTGTTTATGTATTCATTTGGCCTTCTTTCAGGTTGACTTTTGGCAGCCAGACTCTGTCACACTGGTAAGGCCAAAAATGCAAGTTGATTTCCGAGTTGAAGCTGACAAGTCTTTTGAGGTTGAAGATCTTTTGAAAGAAAGTGGAGTGGAATATAGGTAAGTTTGTTCTCACTACTGTATTTTGAATAGAAGGAGATTAAATACTGGGGAAAATGTGTTTGATCTTTTCACATTAGTCAACTGATCTTCCTGTCACAAACTTCATCCCTCCTGTGGATGCCTCTGCTGGGTTCAGCTTTCCTATGGCAGTTCAAATGGACTGTAGCTGCTCTGCGTTAAAGGGGTGAGGTGAAATGTTGCTAGAGGTAGGAGACAGGAAGCAAAGACTTACTGCCAGGAATTTCCCCAAGGTGAAAGCTCACTGCAGTACACAAGGCTGGAGTACAGAGGGGACAAGAAATGTTTCCCACTAAAGCCAAAATGCAGCAAAGGTCTAGAAAGAGCCAGAAAGTACACCAGATGGGTTTGCATGATAGTATAAGGGAACTGAAGCCAGAAAATGGTGAGCCCCAAGGGCCACCATGAGGGGCTCCCCACTGAGTTCTCTAAGCTGCAGAATGATAGCTAAAGAGGCAAAAAAACCAAACTGATGACAAAGACGACAGTTGCTAGGTGAAGGGCCAAGGGAGTGGGGAGAACAGATTCCCAGGACAGCCTTGGGGTTACTCAAGTCACACAACAGATCCACGGCAAGGATTTCTCCAAAGAGAGAGCTCTTAATTGGCTTAGATATTTTGTAAGTATATTACCCAGAAGTAAAAACACCCTGAGTTTCCATGACTGAATACAACTGCAGCATAAGTGGAGGGAATAGACCACACTGCCACACTACATATTCCTGAGAACAGAAGCATTGCAGTGAGTAGCACTAATGGGAGGGTAAGGAGAAAAGAGCAGGACCAGGCAACTGCTTATACTTCATATCTTCCAGTCACTATGCAAGCATTAATCAAGGATGAGAAGTTGACTTTCGGCTGGAGTGGAGTGGGGCTGTCTGTCTTCGTTGCTCCTTTAGCTCCACCTGAACTTTGCAAATTGGCTTGGCCCAACTTGATTATCAGGCTTCTTCGATGTGTAATGGATGTACTGTCAGCATCATGTACTCAGACACTGAAAGTCAGTATTACTTGATCAAATTCTCATGACTTCATTTGGCTGAGTGGAGAGATTTTGTCTCTCAGCTCCATTGTTGTTGCCACCAGACCAAACTCCTTCATTGGACACCACACAGTTCTCATTAAACATAACTTTTATGATCCGCTAAATCCAAGGATAATCCATCCCTAAACTTACTGGCCTCATGTTAACCATGTCTGATTTGGATGGCGCTGAGGGAACAGAATCTAAAAACATTTTAGAAGAAATAATTTTCAAAAATGCCACAGCCCACATACAGCACAGGAATCCAACTTCAGTGGAATTTCCTCTTTGGCAAAGGAGGAGTTACTCTACACGTGTTAGTTTTTCCTATAATATTCATGAAGTCCCTCAGGTCCAAGCACAAATCTTTTGATTACAACAAAGGCCATAATGTCTGGAAGGTGCCCCTGACAAACTTGAGTGGAGCGGCCTTGTGACAACCCAAGCCGTTACAACTCTTTTGAAGTGCAGCCGCAGTGCCGTGACATCATGTCAATGCAGTCATTTGCACTGTTTGTTCTGAAGGCTGGTGGCACCTCACAAACTGGCCTCCTGCTCTTCTATCCAAATCACAAATGATCAAGGACATATCCTGGATGAGTAAGATTTGTAAGAATGTTAAGACAAGCACTGGAAAAACAAAAGGTCTTCATTTTTTGATAGCCAAGGTTGAAATATGAGCCAAAGGTCCTCAAGAGTATGCTCGGCGATGAGCTGTGCCTTTGTGTCAGCCCCAGCAAAAGATAAACAGGAGACATCCAACCAATCCAGACAGGATGCTGGGGTTTTCGTGCCCTTGTGTGTTCTACTTTAATAGCCCACCTCACATGCAGTGAAGTAGCTTGGAGGATGGATAATGCCACCTGCAATAGAGCTGTCAAACCACTGAAAGCTTGGTTTGACATAGAATTTCATCAGGCAAACATCTCTGGGTTGCTACATGGGAGTGTTACGTTGCTGCAGTCTAACTGTCCTCCAGTACCAAAAGTTCAAGAGAGGACCCTTTTCCTATTGAGGCAGAGGCAATCTGGGAACATGAGGTCAGCCCAGAGCTCATTTTCTACACACACTCTGTCTCAGCATTGCCATTCTTCCTAAAGCCAACTGTTGCCACCCTGGAGGTTTGTTAGTATGGGAGTAAGTAGGCAGGTGCTAATTAGGAGGAAGGTATTGCTCCCTGACCATTCTCACGGCAAGGCTGAGGCAGGAAGTAGGTTGAAATTTGAACGTAATATATCTTATTTTCAAATGCATAAATCAACCCCGCCACATTTCACTTCACAATCCATGTGGCCTTAATTTCAGGAAGACCCTGAAATGTCTACCTGGTGCTTACTTTCCTGCGAGCAAATTGTATGTTTCTCTTTACACTTTTCATGGTGCCCTATTGCAGAGTTCTGATTGACAACCTGCAGGCTGCACTGGATGCCCAGTTTGACAGCAAAACTCGTACCACCAGACACAGCTATGAAAAGTACAACAACTGGGAAACGGTAAAGTCTAGAAGTTTGCTACTTTATTAGCTCGGTACCTTAGCATCTGTAGTCAAAATGGCTTCTGATATGCTTCCAGCCTTCTTCCCTTTTCCTCTTCTGTTCCATCCATTAATATGATAACTCTTCCAAACTCTCCTTCCTCTTCTCCTTTACTGCTCATTACCAAGTTAATCTGTATAATCCATCCCCGTACACCTATTTCCTCTACTTCTGCTCCCAGTGCTGCAAAGAAACTCTGGCAGAAATCTAATGACCAGGCTGACATGCTTCACTATTAGTTTTCCCTTTCCTTTTCACTCCTCCTATCTCCTCTGCTAAAAAACTTGATTACATTCCTTGCCCCAATTCTAACTCTTCATCTTCCACCATAAGCTCTCCCCTCCTCCCTCCTTTTTTCACAGCCATGCTCATTTTTCCTGACACGTAACCTTGACCGTGTCACTCTTCACATCTTTGCAGAGGCTCCTTACCCTCCATTGCATCACAGCTCTTATACTTAAAAGTATGACAATCTCCCTTTCATGTCTTTCCTTGCAAAAATCTTTCATTTTTCTGCTGATCATTGCCCACTAAGCACCCGTTACATTTTCAAACAAGAAAATTTGTATTTCCTCTCCAAGTGGTATCTATAGATCATATACAGAACTAATCAATTTTCTTCCATCAGAACTCTCCTAAAAAAAAAAAGTCTCCTTTTACAAGGCTATTTAAAAATAAGAACAAAAGCTCCTCTGACTCTGCAAAGGTTATTGGCATGCAAAAAACCACCAACATCCATAATGTCAACCATTATTTCTAGTATTCTCTTGCCAGTTTGTCTAGATCTGTCTTCTGTTTCCTGTCTTTTTCTTAGTTCTTAGCTCTTTGGGCATGAAATGCTTTTTTGTGTGGATGTGACAACTTTTTTGTGAGCTTTTGAAGGCACCTGTAACAAAGGAAACTTGCTCCAATATTAAGATAATAAAGGCTGTTATTACTTCCCTTAAATAATAAATAGAATGAAGGAGATTTTCTTTCTTTTGTATCTGGCATTGGTGGACTGTTCCTACAAATCCCTGTCCAGCACTTCTGTCAGTAGTTCAAGAATGATGATGAATAAAAGAGCCATGAAACTGAAAAACATTACAACATGTAGAAGATTCAAGGCATTCAATCTACTTAGCTTAACAAGAAAAACAGTTTTCTTTTGTTAAGAGAGCTTAAGGGTTGACAAGGTCATAACTATATAGGGTTAGCATTCAAAGGCTTTTGTAATCCACCAGCCATACTCCAGTGATGGATTTAGATAAATTCATACTAGAAAATCTTAATTCAGACATGTAGCTCTAGTACAAGTAAGAATTAATTCTTAGAAATCTACAAACTGTATTAAATCAAGTAGATGCTCAGAAGGACCCTTCTGGCCTGAAGTCTGTGAATTAATTACTCTGGACCTGAGGACAGAAACATCAGTAAATATAACCTCCTTATTAAACAGATAGCTGCTTGGACTGCTGATATTGCTGCTCAGAACCCAGACCTTGTCTCTCGCAGTGTAATTGGGGAAACATATGAAGGACGGCCAATGTACCTTCTCAAAGTAAGTGCTTGGATTTCTTTGTGCTAGACTTTTCCTCTATTAACCTCCACAAGATTATGATGTCTGTTAAAACACCAGGGATGCTAAGATAGTAATATACATTTTGCAGAAAATCCAACACATTTTGTTCACTACTACTATGATTTTTTCAGCTTTTAAGATTTTTTTTTTAAAAGGGGCATAAGGAATTATTAGAAGTTCAGACATATAAATTTAACCACACTCCTGAGAGCTATTTGAATGATCATCTACCTTTATGTTCTCTGCATCTGTTGTTTGTAAACCCATTTACTCTGAAAGGATCTATAAATGTCACTATCTCTATCAATAGGCAACAAATTTGTTTGTATCTTCATCATATCTAATTTTTGGCATAACTCTTACGAATAAATAAGATACGATGACTTAAATAAAGGTGAAAGGATAAAGATTACTTGCTGAAAATTGCATAAGCATTTACAATAATATATCAGTCAAGCAAACAAGATCAACTCTTAGAGACACTACAGGAAATAAATCAACAGTGCAGAATAATCAAATAATTGGGGTGGGGGGAAGCTTATCTACATTAATAAAAATGAAATTATTAAGAGTCTATTGTTTTAGTTTGAATACCATGGTCAGCTACAGCTGAGAGCACTCCATAGATTTCCATGTAATCAAGGAATGCTGTATTTGTATAAAGTTTGACTTTTTGGGTCAGCAAGGTGACTGACTTGTTCTGCATAGAAATTATTTTGTTCAAGACCTGGATTTTTTGTTGGGTTTTTCCTAGATGGGAAAAAGTCGTCCAAATAAGAAGGCCATCTTTATGGATTGTGGTTTCCATGCAAGAGAGTGGATCTCCCCTGCTTTCTGCCAGTGGTTTGTGAAAGAAGTCAGTAAGCTTAATGACGAAAAAATATTTTACAAAATGCAACTATGTTTAAGAAAATCTTAAGTGAGCAGCAAGAGCTGAGGCCACTGCAGATGATTGCCTTTTTACCTCTAAATACCAGTCTGCACATCCCTTCTCTAACCTCAGACGGTTAGGGTATAACTACTTAAACCAGATCTTAATGGTTGGACCTGTAATCTTTCAGCAGCTTAAGACTACCTAAAAGCATATGCAAGAGGTACTGACAACTACAAGGGTTACTTACACAGTCTATAAATCCCTTTTTGCACCTGTAGTCAGAGAAAGGTGAGAGACAAGCAAACAGGTCTAGTAATACTATAAACATAGTCATGTTTTTTACATAGTCATAAGGAGTAGGGAATAAGGAAATTCAAGGGCACATCAGAAGGCGTCTGAATGCACGTCAGAACAGCTGTCTTCCTACAATGTCAGGTGCTGCATTCCCTGCAATGAGCTTTACTCAGTAAGGCAACAGAGAGGGTGGAGAGCTACCCTCAGCTAAGCACAGAGTGCACTGAGGAAATGTACCCAAGAGAGGAGGAAGACTGTAGATGAAGCTCCCTAAACTCCACTCAGGAAGAGGGAAATGCATACACATCCCTTTGAGCTGCCACTTCAAGTTGTACAGAACGTTTTCTAAAACATGAAACCATATTCAGGAAATACACACCTGTGTAGCTCACACAGAGCTTCACTTCAGGCTGGGATACTTTAGGCCTTGAGTTAAACAATTTTATCTCCTTTGACTTTTCCTTCTCCTTATCACCAATATAAAAGCAGATGGGAGTTATGAAATGCTGCACAGTGTTCTCTACAGAGAAGAGGTATATTCCCCCTCAACAGGGGGAGATCAGTCAACTTAGCAGAACAACTCACTGACTGAATCTCAAATTTTGCAAGAATCTCCCTGCTTGAAGATTAAAAAAAAAAAAAAAACAAAACAAAAAAACCCAAACAAACAAAAACCCAGAAGCAACAGCTGGGATTTAAAACCCAAGTAAAAGAAAGCCAAGGTACATCAGTGAGCCACACTGGCAGAGGCCTTGGTGGCAAGTATATTCTCAGTCTTACCAGACAGCCATGCGGTTTTGTGTAGGGAGCAGTGGAAATTGAAAGTGACATCTCAGTGGAGTCAATGGGAATGTGATTTCATTATCTCCTAATAAGGCTGCAACCAGTATTTGCTACCATTTTTCTCTTAGCAATTCACGTCACTACAGCTGTCATTTTCACTGTCTGGTCACTTAATTCATGGGTGTACCTGACACCAGCAGCGGCTCTGCTCAGTGGATCCAAGTGTGGATAGGCAGAAGTGCTTTAAAAGCACAGTCCTCTGAGCGTCATCAGCAGTTCACTTGGGATTGCTTCTAGACATAAAAGTGAAAAAAAAACCTACAGAAAAACAGGAGCAAGGTGGATTGTTATATGCATCTCCAAAAAAACCCCAAGCATAAAAAAAAACAAAAGAGGAAAAAGTAAGTTCTAGTGATCTGAAACTGCTTTTCTAGATCCTGCAGTCAACCTCCCCACTTGCTAGTTACAGGACAATAGATGCCTTTCTCCATTGCATTGCTCCCTGTGTTGTCCTTTATGTCTGCGTAAAGGAAACATGGGTGCAACATACTACTTAGAGCGAATTTCCATGATCGTTGCATGCTCCTCGACACTGATATAAATCTGTGAACAAGCACACAAAATGCCAGGCCATGAAGAATCAGGATATATGGGTTTATGGCAGGAGTTCTTGTGTTATTCAATGTGTGTTTGGAAAAGTGCAGGGAAAAGTCTGCCTGCCTATGAATATGTGCATCCACAGCATTATGAGTGGAAATGTGTAAGGATGTTCTTTGGAAATATTCTCTATAATTTTGGTTATTGATGAAATTGCTCTGCACAACAGATAAAAAATGGGAATAATGATTTTTCCTTCTCACATAAATTAAATGCAAACCTTTAAGGTGACAGGATGTAGGGACAATATATGGACAGAGCTTTGCTCTGTCTTTAAACAAGAAGCTAGTAGATGGAAATCTCTGCCCAGTGATTTATTATCCTGTCTAAAATCAACATTGTTTTGCCATATAATTTATCTACCAGAATGAGATGACTTTCTAACAGCAGTGTGGTTCGAGTCAGTGTAAATCCTCTAAATATATGTAATATCACAGAGCTGCCATCTCACATGGAGGAGTGACCTGGATGACTTTGCCCATCACATTCATTAATTCCTGATCCAGACCCAGGCCTGGGTAAATACACACAGGAGATACAGACCTATGAAGGCTTCATCAGCTTTTTCTACTTTTCTCCAACTAGGCTGTTGAGACCTATGGAAAAGATACTGTCATGACCACACTTCTCAACAGCTTGGATTTCTATGTTTTGCCTGTTATTAATATTGATGGCTACGTTTACACTTGGACAAAAGTAAGTACGTTCTTCTTTCTCAAGAAGAGTATTGCTGAAAAAGCCAACTGTTAGAACTTTCTCTTAGTTTTGATCTATGCTTCACCATTCTATTTCAGGACCGCATGTGGAGAAAGACACGCTCTAAAAATGCTGGTAGCAATTGCATTGGTACAGATCCCAACAGGAATTTTAATGCTGGCTGGTGCAGTAAGTGTCTCCTAACAACAGGAGATCATGAGGTGCAATAGCCAAGATGATTAATTATGGATTTTCCCTACCTGATGGTTGGTCCAGCTCCAGCTTGAGTGAAGACTACCAGTATAGCATTGTGGAGTAGCTTGTGTTCAATTTTGGGGGGCGGTTTTGGGCAAAAAACAGACTTTGGTTACTAGTGTCATCAGTATGGCTACTTCTGTGAACATATATATACACACACATGCATGTATATATATAGACATATATACACTTACACACACGTATACACACACATATACGTATACACACACACACTTCTATGAGTTCAGAACAGAAACTGGGAGAGTTTTCTTTCGGTTGGTTTCAGTCAGTGGAGAGGGGTCTCTTTTGAGTGCGTTCCACTTGTTTTTTTCCTGGAAGCATCCTAGAAATGAGGGAGATGATATGCAAGGAGAGGACTATTAAGTACTGAAACAAATCAATATCCCAAATCACTTACATAATATAGGGCTTTACATCAATACTCATGTTCTTCCAACTATGCACACTGTACAGGGCATATTTATTTAATGCTATGTCATGTTGCCCTGTGTCTTAACTATGCAAGAAAATATTCTCTGCTCTGATATGGCATGTGTGTCAGTAGGATTTCCAAGGCTTATCTACAAAAGTGCTGTAACATGACTCTCCTAACAACTAACTTTTTTCATTAAATACTCATTAAATTCACCTTTCTTCCCAGCTCTTGGGGCCTCAAAAAACCCCTGTGATTCCACTTACTGTGGCTCTGCACCCGAGTCTGAAAAGGAGACTAAGGCTTTGGCTGATTTTATTCGTGAACATCTTTCTACAATCAAGGCATACTTGACGATTCACTCCTATTCCCAGCTGCTACTGTTTCCTTATTCGTATACTTACAAATTACCATCGAATCACGAGGAACTGGTAAGTCTCTTTGTCATTTTGACATAATGGAAAGAATAAGTAAAAATCATCACTTGCTATTTAGGTCCATTTAACTTCAAGCAGTTTCTGTAACATCTGGAAAGAATCTGTACTGCCAGTTTTTGAAAATACTTCAGTTTTTCATAGCAAGAACAAGGGAAGCCACGATGGCTTCAAGATAGCTCAAGCACAGGATAAACTCAAGAGCCTTATTTAATTTCCACATACACAATGAATTTGCCACAAGGTCAGGTTTGTCTTCCAGTCATGCGATACAGAAATCCACTATGCTGTGCAGCACTGCTTCGCCCTGACTCAAGAAGTTGCTGCGTACGTAGCTTTAATACATTACATGGAAACATTATGCCCTGTAAGTCAAGCCAACAGCTCGATGGATTGTAATAACTATGAAATGACTGAATTGGTATCATCAACAGCAGACAAGGATCTCTGTCTACCACTTCCTACCAACCCTTAATTCTCACTGAAGTAAAATGGTGAAACTCGTATTGATACAGGTTCAAGACAACGAGGCAGTTTTAATAATTAAAAACAGTTAGATATAAAACAGGTAAAAAGTTTGAGTTCTGAGGCCTTTCTAAATAGGCCAGGATTCAAACACACCTTTTATTTGGAAGAGGAGAGGATGAATATGGTGCTTAAAAGGAAAACGCCTCTTTTACGCATCCTAGAGAAAGGCCACACCCTAACGCCATTTAAGCAAGATAACAACAGTCTGGAATACTTTTTTTTTTTTTTTTTTTTTAATCCTGAAATACAGAGAGAGGGGTTAAAACTACTAAATGTGTATAAAAGTTGTAAAATTTTATAAGGTCAAAAATCAACAATAATGAATAAGAAAATGACTTCAGTTCTCTGGCATATTAGCAATTAGAAGCTGTTGGCAGGGAAAACAACATAGCAAAACAAAACAAACAAATCTTGATTCCCCCTCTTTCATGGATGCTGCCAAAAGTCCAAGGCAACAACAGTGTGTGTTGCTGTGCTGTGCAGGTTTGACAGATTTATGAGTGCTCCCAAATAGATGTCATGATTCTGAAGCACAAATATAAACTGGGGCCAACAGTGAAGTTTCTTGTTACATTTTTTACAGCTTAAAAGAGAGGATGAAATTTAGATTAAGATTTTGTTTTCTTAATTTATATTCCAAAAAATTTTAGTTGTAATTATTCCAGGGAACTGTAGTAATATCTTGTCTTCAGTTTTTACAAAAGCTTCACATTTCACACATTGCAGCTCAGTCTAAAGCAGTAAAACAACACAAAACCCTCGAGGCTGCTTTGTTGTCAAGATCACAAAGTTCCCACGTGTTAAAAATTTGCATGACATTCTGCCCAATTTTTTGAATCGAGAGCAAATGTGATGAAACATAACTAAAAGTACAGCATGTTTCTCACAGTATTAAATGTAAAAAGTTTACGTTGACAGCTCATTATTAAAACAATCCTTAACAAAAAGAAAGAACCTATGTGCTTTTCTAGGTTTTCAAATTCCTTTATTAAATTAAAATTTTATATTAGCCATATTCTATTCTAATACACAGTAAAATTTAATGAATCACCCATACTAAGGTCCTACAATTTTTATCAATAAAAACTCTTCTTTCCTGCCATAGAGGACAATTCTGCTATTATCATTCAGCATAAAAAAATAAATAGCCCAGGAATGCAGGGTATATATTTCGTTTCAACCATTTGATTTCACTTCGTAAGTTAGTCTTTCCAACATCACTTTATCCTGTATTTTAAATCGGGCACACTGATCCCAGAGGGAGTTCCATTATTTTCCACTACAAAGCAATCACAAATCTCACCATCATGACGAGGCGACCTTATGAGTGTTTTTCACATCTTAATTAAGGGAAAATATTTCCTCTATTGGTGATCCCAACAAAAAGACAGCAGGATCCCAGAGGTGTTTAACTTGTGCAGTATCTGATTTTAACAAGGGAAGACTTCTTGCCAAAAATCCTTCTTTGGAGAATGAGATCAGAGTATCACCCAATCAATGTTGCCTGTAGTTGGGATAATTAAACAGAAAGGGCCTAATTCACTCCAGTGTCAGTGAATTAGAAAGACTGATTTCAACAGGCTCTGGGTCACGTTTGAAAGTACAGCTTTTCAGGTTACTTCAAATAACTAAACCACATTGATTTAAGCTGTGACTAAAGAAAATTTAAGGTTTTCAATCAACAATTGTATTTGCTTGAAATGAGACAGCTACCAAAAGAGGTATTATTTTGTATGCCAATTGTTGTGTTTCATGTCTAAAAGTCTAGATTTAGAATTTAGAGAAATGCTGAAGAATGAGAATCTCAACTTTTAACAGAAATTGTCTGGGCAAATAAAGGGATCATAAATCATTTTGCAAATGAAGAAGCAAAATTTATAGTGCCATTATCTTAGATCTTATTTTTACTCTGACAGATCTAATAAATTAAAGGAAATATAGTTGCAATTTCTTATCTCTTTCAGTGAGCAACTGGACATGTGCTTAAACAAAACCTCACATGTCTGCTTATCATTAACAACATTTTGTTTCATCGTATTTAATTAAAGGTAGCATAATACCATGGGGCTTATGCTGCATTCCAGTGTCTGAGATATAGAAGGGCACAAAAATTGAGTAATTGGAGATTGAAGACACTAAGTCTGCAGAAGAGAAAGATCTAGAGAACGCTCGTGCCTTCCTTTCCTGCAAGCATACTGAACAGCATGTCCTTGGGGCTCAAAAGACCTTTTCTGTTCACAGCCTCAAGAAATCACCAGACGGCATAAAACTTCTGGGTTTGGTTTCTCAGGTAGAACAGGGCACTCTGAGAATACCAGACATCCTTTATGCTCCACTGCATTGCTGTAGCAAATCAGAACCACCTCAAAGTTATTGTAACTTACTTTGAGTCGGAGATTAGAACTATCCCTCAACGACCCCTGGCCCCGGGGTGTAAAACATGATGAAAGTCACGTATGTCCCTTCCTTCCCACAACTTCCCACTCTTCTTAGATGCAAGAGGATCTCTGAGGATTTCAGCCCCACAGCTCACAAGGATTTTCCCAAAACTTTTCTCCCTTTATTCAGGGTTGTTGTTTTGTTTTTCACCCCTCTTCTGGGTTGTTGCACAAAACTTTCACTGTTATCCAAACAATACTTGAACAACAAAAATACAAATACCCAAGACAGGAAAATCTAGGTCAGGAATTTCTCAGAAGTTACACAATATTCTTGTGATGACACCCTGAAAGAAATATGTACTCCTTTTTGGTGAATCACATTTTGCCTGCTTCATAATCCTCTCTTGACTCATTCTTTACTATACCCTGGAGGGTTCCCCTGCACACAGAATACACACTTGAATCCATCTCCTACAGAGAATAGAAGCATTAGCTTTTCACAATTAAAAAATGTGCTTGGCAAGACCAGTATCTCTCCACACCCCAAAAAGATTCTTTTCATCTTATCATTTCACTATTCACATTTTTGTCCTCTTGCAATAAAGAACTCTGTATTTAATTGCACTTTTCATAAACAGTTCAGCCTATATTTTTTAATCCATTCATATTTTGGCCTTAGCTTCCTATTAGATCACCCTATGCTTTCCTTATTTTCAGCAGACAAATCTAGCTTTATCAATTCTTGTTTGTATTTGAATTGGCTCTGAACTATGATTTGATAGAGCAGGGAAATGTGCATCGTGCCCTTCCTTCCTTCCTTTCCAGGTTCAATCCTATCTCTCAGTTAAACAACAAACTCAGTGCCAAATACCTGTCTGCAGCCAGCTCATTCTCATTGTCAGATGTGTATTATTACACTCTGGCAGGCTGCAGAACATATATTATCTTACAACCCAAGATAATTTTCAAGTAATACAAACTGAAATCCTGTCTCTGGAAGGTGTACTGGCCACATTGGTTACTGTTTAAGCTCACAGAAATTCGCCTTCCATATTGGGTTGGTCTAGCATTTCATTTCCTCTTGAGTGCTTAAAATAGGATGTAGTAGAAAGTGGAGATATGCCCAGAGTCTGTGCAGCCTGCAAGAAGAGTGAATTTCAAATATATTGCATGACTTTGTGAATATCAGTCTGATTTTTTAACCTGATGCCTGGGAGCAAAGTCTTTTCACTCCTGATTTTATTCCTGAATGTGTTTAAGATATATGAAGAGCTGTGGGTAAGAATTTTTGAACAGCAAAAATCCTATCACCTAAAAGACTCAGACATACCAATGAGGAGTTGCAGCCTGTGCTGTTGTTGTATCTGTGCTGTTGCGAACTCCTGTGATTGTACTACTTGTTACAAGTAAATATTGGTAAAGTCAGCCGGGAAGCACAACAAACAGGGAAGTGGGCAGAAAAGCAGTATTTGGAACTGGCTTCACAGCTCCTCCACTGAATTTGCCACAACAGATGTCCCGCAACAGAACTGCTCTGTGCGGACAGTCTTACAGTTGTGAAAAAGGATGTTTTTAGTAGCAGCATCTTCCTGATGAAGCTCATGTATGAATCTGGCTCAAAAACAAGAGTCTCCAACAGGTGTAGGGCACATTCAGCTTAACACACTGGAAACCCTCTCACCAAGGACTGATTTCTTAAACACTCTGTGAGACTGCCACAGAGACACAGGCTTGCAAAGACACAAGAAGCATCATAGTAAAGTCCTCCACTTGGCTGGACTCCCTGGGCTCTTGGGGGAGATGCTTAACTACGAGCAACAACAGAAGAGTGAACTAAATTACACATCAGTCATGGACTCTTTTGAGGGGAGTCTGTTTTTATTGGCAAAACAAGAAGCCTCAGAAGTTTAGCTTCACTTGGCTAAAGCTAACTTTGCAAATACCATGTTTTCAGACTTTCATTACGAAGGAAGTGGAGGGTCGCTTAAGTAGCACGTGAGACCAAGGTGAAGTGAAAATACAGTTTTCAGCCTTCGGGCAAATCAGTGTGCAGTCCAGTGAGGGAAGAGAGCAAGAGGTCCAGTCAATCAGTGGAAAGGCTTCTCCAGATCCCTGTCAGACTGTGAGGGCAAAGGGAGTTGTCCACATGCAGCAGCTGCATAATCAACATCCCTGAAGTGTTTCTAAACAGCCACAATTTGCTGGCAAATCTGGCCTGATGACACAAGAGTAAAATGAGGGAGATGCTCCCAAAAAAATTACCTATTAAGACACAGAAGATGCTTAGTCTGACAATTTATCTTGTTAGTTCAAAACTCCAGATGCGGTCAGAAAGAGAGGCCATTAACATATCTTTCATTAAAAGCTAATAACTGAAAAAATAGGTTTAAAGGTCGTTAATTATGTAAGATAATGGCAACTGAGAACACAACTCTGCTGCCTCACTGGCCCGTGCACTCTGTACACAAGATCAAGCAAAATATTAGTAACTGCTGTGTAAACGCAGATGGGTGATCAGTGCAGGGAATACTGCCTTCTGCTGAAATGACCAGCTCTGCGAGTTCAGCTGCAAGCCAGAAGCTGAGAAGCCATTTCTGCTCCCAGTTACAAGGTATTAATTTGGAGTTATTTCTAGGACTTCAGGGCACCAGTTGTTTCTCTGCTACTATAACTCTCAGCAAAATTTTCCTTGCAAGAGAGGGATTCTTAACAGTAAAAAAACCAACCAACCAACCAACCAACCAAAAACCCCAACAAACAAACACCAACCAAACAAACTCCAAACAAACGGCAACAATTCAGTTAAGTCAGTTGTGCAAAGAGATCTAGAAAATCACTCAACAGCAATTACTATTAAGAGGTAACTTTAGTTCCTATAAAGTCGAAATTTCTTTTATTTACCTTTGGGTTTTGGACTATAAATCTATTAGGAAAGCAAATGGTAGAGAGTCACTTAAAGGAAAAAAAATCAGCTAGCAAAACTTCATCAGAAGTTTCATTTCATGATGAAGTCATAAATGCTCAGTCATGTTTTTCACTTAGAGAGGGTCATTTAAAATACTACCTCGATCTCCAACCTGGAGAGCGTGAGGAAGTTGTTTATTTGGATTCCAGGCTCTTAACAGCTGGAAATCTCAACTGCTCTTTCTACAGATCTCTCTTTTTACAACTTCCTGGCCAATAATAAGAAATCCCTCAGGTAAAAAGACTTCCTGACATACTTTTTCTAGTATCTGTTCTGGTATGATTTAAAGCCATCATTTGGCAGCTGAATGAAAGGCATGCCCTATTCTTCCCAAAGAGCAGCTCTGCTGTTCTATTGTTCCTACCACGCAGTTTACTAAAGAGACAGCAAATACCGGTTACCAACAGGTCCAAACATAGTATCAGACTATCTTTACAAATTTGATTTCCACCTTGCATATATTTGAAAAGAGGAAGAATCAGTTTACATCTAAAACTTCATTTACTATTTAGAGAAGATTTGACTCAACCTCAGCTGCTGGTTAAATGTATATATTATAAACAAAAGATGATTGAAGAAAACAAGGTATCACTAGCAAATAGCAGTCTCCAACCTCTACAATTCCCTCAACATGTGTTAAAAACTATTATGAATTTTAGAAAAATCAGCTTGTTTAAGGGATTAAAAAAACCCAACCAACCAACAAAAAAAACAAACCACCCAACACTGGAGAGAGCTCAGCTACCCCAATTGCTCTGAATCCAAGGTTGTGAAATGCAAAGCAACAACATTCTTCCTACAGTTGCTTGTCTTTGGGCAACAGAGAGGCCAGAAACTAAACCCCACATTCAGGTACAGGCAACGTTATAGGTGGAAGGACAAGCTTCAAATACTCTTTGGTCTGCCTTGTTTAAGTATTCTTAACACGCTAAATGACCACAAATTCCTACAGCAAACTCACATAATTCTAGGATGTTCAAAATACAAAATTTGAGAATGGGGAAACACTTGCGATTCTGCAATAAAGTAGGCTGCTAGTGCTAATGCAAATGTATTTCGATGCTGATTTGTAGAAGCTGAGAAAGCTCTCGCACTTAACTAAGATTTTCTAAACATATTGTCCAGTATGCCTTTTCGAGTAATTCACAGGAACACTTGAAGTATAAGGATGAACAGAGAATATTTTACAATATATCTTCCACTGGGAAGTAAGCCAGAGTATAACCTACAGAGAAAGAAGGGGCTTGAGGAAATTCCTAGAATAGTAAGCCATTCAGCTGCAAGCTATAAAGATATGGCAACCCATTGCTTATTCTCATACTGAACATCTGCTTTCAAAAATCGTTCATATTTATCATCTGTTAGTAATAGTTTTCATGTTTTATTACCAACATGCTGTATAATGAAGAACTGGAAAAGCCACACGTTCCAAAGAAAAGTCTGTTATTTTCCTTAATGCAAACATACAAAGCTTCACAGTACTATCGATGGGCCTGATCCAGCCCTCACTGAAATCAGTGGGAGTTGAATGAGTCCCTCTGTGCACAGGAAATGAATTGAAATTAATGAGACTACATATGGCTCCAAGGTAATTTATGCCTTTTTCTGGCTGTTAATATTTATAAGACCTTAATCTGCTTCCACTTGTATCAGTGTTCAACTCCACCGACTAAGCTGACTCTACCCTGAATTTATAGCTGCATGAGTAGAAGGAAAAGAAAGGCTATTGCATGTTTGCAATTTACTGTACCAAGTTATTACTATTCTCTAAGATTCTCTTATCTCTAAATAAGATTCCTTATTTAGTTTTAATCTTGTACAAGTTTCTTCTAAGTATAGAACATCCTGTTACCTATTGTTCCCTTACCTATCCAAACTATAGTGGACTATACAGCAGGCTGTACATCAGTAAAGCAATACACAGACTGGACTATACTCCATTAAAGTTTGGAGAACGAGCTCTTGACTGATAAGCTTTTTTCACAACAACAGGACCAGTTGTGCCTTGTCAGCTACTGACATCTAGTCATTCTGAGAGGTGAACAACAGTTTTCAAATAACTGCTCAAGCATGGCTTTTCAGTTTATTCAACAATGTATTTGCTTAGATTCACTGAGAGAACTTCTGAAAATCCGCATTTATCGTTCTTCTTTTCCTACAGAATTCCATTGCTCGTGCTGCATCCGAACAACTGGCCAGTTTGTATAATACCAAATATACATACGGCCCAGGAGCTACAACAATCTGTAAGTACTGGCCTAAATATACTAGCCATCTATATTAAGTGCTACTAAGACTATCAAATGCAGTTTTATAGTGATTCTTGTTCCTCTTCCTAAGCAGTCCCCTTCTTTCTTCACAAGCATATGCTCAGAGGTATATATGGAATCTGTCAGTTCTAAAATATGGGATGATATATTCCTTAAGGATCCCAGGGAGTGTGTGACCCCTGAAAAGTAAATTGACATGGTAAAGTGTTTAGGAATTCATGTGCATAGCACGAATTCCTAAATTCTACACAGGTTAGTTCTAAACATAAAAATCTCAAACAGAGATAACTACATTTCCAGTATCTCCAAGTCAAGGCAAAAAACCAATGTGAATCCTAAAGAACGGCTTCAACCACTCTAGCAACACAGATAATTATTTCTTTTACTTTGCATTACAGTTTGAGAAATGTACTAATTACAATTCCATTCTTCTATCTTTCTTGGGAACTCAGCTGTCAGGATATGGCCTTTGCAGCATCAAAAACTGAGCTGAGGCTGTCAAATATAGATTTCTAGTATTTTATCTCCTATATTTAAGATCTCTTAATTTCCTTAAATATGGAAACTAAACTCTTTTCCCTACTTCTCTTTCCTTAAATAATTTAAAACAGTTTCTGCCAATTTTTAGAATATTTATGAGGATCTCTCCTTTAAAAATGTTTCTGTGATGCTTATCAAGTCTGGAGGATCCTTCCTTAGCAAAAGAGACTGCCTTCATTGTACCAAAGCACTGGAAAAGGAGAGTACTACTTGTCCAGAAGAAAAAGACGGAGCTGATATCCCAAACCTGCACTTCTTTCATATTTGTATGAACCTCAAAAAGCTACCCAGTGAGAGGGTGTTTGCTTCTGATATCAAATCTTTCTAAACAACCCCATGCAAGCACGCCATTCTCCTGTTCCCTAGATGTTCCTCCCATGGTCTCCCCGCAATATTGACAAGGAGGGAGCAGTTTAGCTTGTTTACATTTGCTTGCATGCATCAGTTGGAACGAAGCTCACAAATGGCCTAAAATCACAGATGCTTTTCCGTGAGCAGAAGAAATCAATCAATTCACTGAATATTCCTTTTTATCTGTCCTTTCTGCATTTCTGGCTACACGGCTTGACTCCAAAGTATATCACATTTCAATGCATAGCCCCATTTTTCCAGTTAAGCTTTATTTTATTTCTTTATCAACAGATCCTGCTGCAGGGGGCTCTGACGACTGGGCTTACGATGAAGGCATCAAGTACTCTTTCACTTTTGAGCTCCGAGACACTGGTAGATATGGTTTTCTTCTCCCTGAATCTCAGATAAAGCCAACCTGTGAAGAGACTCTACTTGCTGTTAAATATATTGCCAATTATGTCCTTAAGCACTTGTATTAGAATGGAGTTCTAAAAAACTATTAAAGAAGGTTTTATTCAAAGATGCCTTCCTTTTTATTCTTCCCTAACAATAGTTTTTTATTTCTCTGTGCTTAATGTTCTTAGTCATAGCCTTAGTCCATCATAGGTCAATAAAACCACAAGTTTGTCAAGAGAAATTGTATCTTTTATTAAGGCAACTAATATAGTCAGGGGGGTCTAAAAAGAAAAAGCACAAGAAGCTTAATCAACTTAAGGTAAAGGTTGCCTTAATGATTAAAATTATCTTTACACAGAGCAGACAGGCAAAGCATTAGAACTTACACAGCCTGAATGCTAAACAGAATGAGAACAGCTACGTGATTCATATAAATGCATTTTCATTCAACCATTCATTGCCTTAATGGCAACAAGGGAAAGTTCACATCGCATACTTTTAAAATTATGTTAGCTGTGATATGCTCTTGTGAATTTTCTCAAAACCCACCCTGGATCTGCCCATCACTGAAAACTGGTTTGGATCTGAGGTCACTGCTAATCTGATCTGAACTCAGTGCTGAAGCTTAGAATTACTGTTAGTTTTAAAGACCAAGACTTGATACAAATCACGCTATAAACTACCCTGCATTTAAGGCTCTCACGCTCACTACAGCAGCATTTCTCAAAATATTCTCAGAGTCCTGGTACTTCCTGGGGCCCCACATGTTCCTACTGTCATGAGCGGAAGAATCATAACCAGCCATAAGGACAAAGCCTGGTGATAAATGATTAACTGCCTCTTTCGTGAGAAGCTGTAAAGAATTATCCCCTCCCGATCAACTTTCTGTACAGGTAATGTGGGTCTGACTGGGTCAGAGTGAGAGTGGGCAGCTTTCTCACGCAGCTGCAGAAAATGTGTTTGGCATTTATTAATGCTGATTAGAGCTTGGCTAACACGTTATGCACTCTGCAGAAAGCTGGGACAAACCTTATGTCAACACAGAACCTGGCTGATCTCCCTGCCATTGCTGGAAGCTCTGAACAGACTTCCGCTGTCCGTTGATGCTCCTGGAATTACCGCTATTTCTGGCAGGTCCCTAGCTGATGCACTCAAAACAGCCCATGAAATGCATCTTACAGAGAAAATGGTTCTCCCAAGAAAATCACCAACTTCAGACCTGTCAAAAACTAAGCTTTCTCCTTTTTTGCCTCTTCTCTGTGGAGGGAAACAGAAAGACAAGGTCCAATTTAAAATGACACTTTCATTTACAAGTATAAGAAAAAGAAAGGAACGCATCTGCTAGCCCACTCCAATTAGCCCAGCAGCGCTCATATTAAACTAGTCCTCACACACGACTGATCCAGCTGTTTTTGATCACTGGTGAAACTGAACCCATGTGTGAAAGTAGCACGTACCAGTAAAAAGACATGTCATTCTGTTTTGCAACAGAAGTGGGGAGAAGGATAATCAGCTTTACTAAAAATAGCACAGGATGCAAGCAGAACATACCGGCCAGAGCCAAACATGTCAAAAAGGGCAGGAATATAAATTACTCAGAACATAAGATATTTTAGCTAATTTTAACTAAGTATTAACAACCACCCAGGGACTATCCTAACTAAAACTGTAGTATTTGGGAAAGTATCACAGGCCTTACACCGACTGCAAGGTGAATTGTTGATACTTGGCACCATTCGTTACTAGGAAGGCTCTTTGCAGGACTGCAGGCAACCAAACACAGAATCACAAATACAGTTGAGGGGTAGGTCACAGCACCCAGCAGCTCCAGTGGTGTGAGGGTTACCCCAGTTAACTTAAACTGTGACTCTGAGGCAGAATATGGCATGCATTTGATAGCTCCGACATTCACAAAGTCAAATCACAGCAAGGCAGTGATATGCAGCTCTTCTGTGCCTTCACCACAGAAGGCACTCACTACCACCTCTGGTCAAATTACAGAGAGGCAGAAAAGAGCAATTAAACGTGAGATATCATCTATGCAGCTTGGAACATAAAAAAATACAGGGAGAAATTTAAGCAGGAAAGAGCATTCTGCTAGCAGGTAAACTGTTAGGACAGAGACACTGGAAGAAAACATGGAGAGGAAGCAAAGGTTCAGCAACAAGTCACAATGCTTCAAATTTCAGCATTGCTTTCAAAAAACATACAAAATCCACATGCAAAACTGATTGATAATATATTTTCAAAGACACCATTGTAGTTATTTGGAACCAATTCCTCAGTTATGAAATAGTTCTTAGAGAGAACTAGGAGAAACACAGGAAAAGAAATAAAAACATTTATATGGATGATGGAGGTACATTCCGACATTTGTAAGAGGTCAACTTTTTCAATAACCCTAAAGAAAAATTTCCACAGTTCTCCAAACTGAATCTTTTTCTTGCTTTCTAAAGCCAAATAAATCTGTAAAGGAACAGTAAATATTTTACCAATGTTAAAATATAAATAGAACCCACCTCACAAATAACTGTGGTTTTGATTTTTCTTTAATTGCAGAGTTTAAGCTGCGTCTTTACGGTGAATGCTATAAGCCCACACTGCAATTTTGTATCATATAACAATATTTTTAACCATAATCATGTTTATGAAAAAAAGCCATGAAAAAAACAGGGGAGTAACTCTGCAGCCCTGAGATACCTGGGAATTTTGTCAAGAATGGAAGGCGCTCTCAAAGAAATACCAGCAATGTGCACTCACAGCAAGGAAGGCCGGCGGTGTCCTGGGCTGCACTAGGCAGAGCGGTGCCAGCGGGTCAAGGCAGGTCCTTGGCCATCCATCCTTCCCCTCCACTCAGCCCCGATGAGGCCAAATCTGGAGTGCTGGCTCCAGCGCTGGGCTTCCCAGTGTGAGACACAGGGACACACTGGAGCAAGTTCAATGAAGGGCCATAAAGATCATTGAGGGACTGGAGCATCTGTCATGCAAGGAGGGGCTGAGAGAGCTGGGACTGTTCACCCTGGAGAAGTGAAGGCTCAGGGGGATCTTATTTATCTGTATGAATACCTGATGTGAGGGTGTAAAGAAGACAGAGCCAGGCTCTTCTCAGTAGTGCTCAGCAACAGGACAAGGGGTAATGAGCATAAATTACAGCACATGAAACTCCATGTGAACACAAGAAAAGACTTTTTTACCGTGCAGGTGCCCAAACACTGAAACAGGTTGCCCAGAGATGTTGTAGAGTCTCCATCCTTGGAGATGTTCAAAACTTGACTGGACACGGCCCTGGGCAACCTGCTTTAGGTGGCCCTGCTTTGAGCTGGGGGTTGAACTAGACTGTCTCGAGTGGTCCCATCCAACCTCAACGGTTCTGTCATCCTGTGAAATTCATCTCTGCCTGATGCAGATCAACCAAGGACTGAGATGAACAATTTCAGCTTTTCCTATTTGATTTATACTGCTCCTTTAATTAGATAAATAGAAAAGGAGCATTCTGTTTTCTTGGTTGAGAATCACACCAAAAAGCTGCCATCTTTCTCTTATTAAGCTATTGTTTAGCTAAATACATTCAAACAGCCAATTCATTCCAGTGCTCCAAAACTCAAAAGGGATTAAGAACGGATGAAGTGCTTTAAAGACAACGTACTACCCACGGGCCAGGCCTCACAGGAGTGACACGGGAGATACCAGACCACTCCCAGAGGAGATGTCCCTTCAGTACAGAGCTCAGCTGGAAAGGCCCAACAAAGGCAGCGCTATATAAATTCTTGATTCTTTAACATATAAAGCAGGTAACTCACACACAAAAATGAATGAAGTACAGTAAGTCCCGACAGTTGTGTGAGGGTTAAACACATGCTTCTGGGGCAGATATTTCCAAGTTTGCTCAAAGTTCTCAAGCAGCTGCTGACACATAGTGGTAATTCAGAGAAGGAAACTTCTGTTCTTAATGATCCAGACTCAACTGCCTCAAAACCTGTGCTAGAAATTAAACCTATCCTTCCAATGCAGCCTGTTCTGAACTCTGCTTGGCTGACATATGGCCTCAGCATGCTTCCTGTCACTTTGAATTCTTCCAAGGACAGATGTGGGCTGTGCATTGAAGCAGGTTGCCTCTGTGCTCCCCACTGCACTCGCAACAGCTGCGGTGCAGCTGCATACAGTCTTGTACCACAAGAGGAGAGGAAACAGCCGAATGCCACTTTCGAGAATGGGATTGCATCTCTCTCCTTTGCAGGAAGTACACTGGGCTACTTGCCGTAAACTTTGCAGCCACAGAGAACAGGGAATCTGCTATCAATAAATGAATAGATACAGCCTAGCCAAGAAATAGGGAAATATTGCGAAACATCTAAAACTTTTTCTTCAAATCTTTTTAAACAAAGCACCCCAGGTTTTTGGCAAACACTGAAGTGTTTTCTTTCTGCATTTAACAGAAGACCTAAGGTGCCTAACTTTGGAGTGCTTCAAGGAAAGTATGAATCACATTGTTTTAATTTAAAATCAACTCCCAATTTCCTGACTTTATGGGGAAAAATCAAATATTCATGTTTCTCTTCAATACATTGATACATTAGGCCATAAGAACCAGCATAAATACTGTAATGAAGAAAAAAAGGAAAACGGTTCAGGAGTAATGGCTGTCATCCCTGCAAATCCCTGTGCTGCTGCTGACATGAGAGAGCCAGGCCACAGACTACAGCTCAGTGTCACAACGATCAACCAGTTCACGTCCAGAAGTGATACAGCTCAGAGCGTCTCTGTTCAATCCAGAGTTAGTCCATAATCTAATCATCCTGCTACAAAAGTCAAGAGATGCTAGTAAATTTTGAAAATGACAAACAGAACTCAAAAGACAAACACGCTGTGATGCAGCATTGACATGCGTGTTGCATCATCATCACTCATCAGCACGGTCCCTTTTCTGCCATTGCAAATGTGCAACATTCTCAGATTATGAAACTGTAAATACAGTAGTAGATGCAAAAAGCCTGCTTTTCACTGACATTTTCATGTCCCTGTTCATAGGATGTGTGTGCGTAAAGATAATAACCTCACATACATAAAGTTTTAGAAGTTCAAATGTCCAACACGCTTAGCAGAAATATTCTAATATCCAGGTTT